AATGGTGCTGAACATTGTGTAATCGTCGGTGAACATACCCACCACTGACCTTATGATGGGGGGAAGGTCATTGATGAAGCAGCTGAAGATGGTTGGGCCTAGGACACTACCCTGAGGAACTCCGGCAGAGATGTCCTGGAGCTGAGACGATTGACCGGCACCAACCAGACCATCTTCTGAGGTGCCGGATATGACTCCAACCAGGGGAGAGCTTTCCCCTGATTCCCATTGATTCAGGCTGCTTGACGTCAAGGTCAGTCAGACTCGCCTCACCTCTGGAATTCTGCTTTTTTGTCCAAATTTACCAAGACCTTCTCTCAAACAAAATGAAATTACAAGATGCAACAGGCAAATGACAGCATCTCCCAAATCAGAGTCCTCCATCAACTAGAAAGAAGGACAAGGGGAATAGATGCATGGGAATGCTTTCAAGCTTCCCTCCAAGTCACACACCATCTTGACTTGGAATAGTATCACCATTCCACCACTGTCGCTGGGCCAAATTCTTGGAACTCTCTCCCCAACAGCACTGTGGTTGCATCTTCTCTCCATGGACTGTAACAGTTCAAGGGAAATTGGGATGGACAAGCAAGCTTGGTCTAGTCAGTCAGAGATAGCAAGAACTGCCAATGCTAGAGTCAGAGATATCACAGTGTGGAGCTGGAGGAACATAGCAGGTCAGGCAGCATCAGGGGAGCAGGAATGTTGACATTTTGGATTGGGACCCTTATTCAGAAAAAAAAAATTCCCTCTGATGCTGCCTGACCTGCTGTGTTCCTCCAGCTCCACACTGTGTTACCTCTTGGTCTAGTAAGCGATGCCTGCATCCCATGAGTTTGAAAAAAATTAACATCTCCACAATGAATACTTCATAAGTGAATAATGGAACAATGTCCAGACTTATCAAACCTATCGTTCAATCGTGGTAGAAATTAAGATTGACGTTTACTCCTTTCTGGGCTAATTGTGTGCCCAGTGTGTCAGATGTTGACTAAGTTGCCACTCCCAGCAATAAGAAAGCTCATTGGATCACGTCCCATTCAGCTTCAGAGCTCTCCAGCAAGCTTCTCAGCCTATCACAGGCCTCAACACTAAGATCGAACTCATTGGACTCTACTGGCCATTTGGATCCTAAAGACAGCTGGCCAGGGATCTGAGCATGGGTCAACTGCGTGACCCTCACCTGTGTCCCCTTTTGGAGTAAATGGTGGTCCCCACCCAAACCTGGCAGTCATGTCACTTTGATTACTCTGTCAGGATACCAGTCTGCAGTACTTCCCTGGCTGAGAAGAATTTTAAGGCGATGAATGACCATGAAAATGCTCTGCTTGACGATCAGAAGCTAATGTATGAGATCATTCCTCCTCATCTCAGTCCTAAACAGTCATCCCTTCACTTTGAGGTTGTGTCCTTGGTCCTACTCTCTTCTACCAGTGAAAACATCTTCTCCATGTCCAAGCTATCCAGGCATCTCAATATTATGTAAGTTTCAATCAGATTCTCCCCTCATCCTTCTGAACTCCATCGAGAACAGACCCAGAGTCTTCAACCACTCATCCCCAGGGTCATTCCTTCAAATTTTCACTGGACCCTCTCCAATACCAACAAATCCTTCCTTAGACACAGGGCCAATAACTGCTCACAATATTCGAAATGCAGCACGATCAGATCCTTATACAGCTTCAGCAATACATCTCTGCTCTTGTCTTCTAGTGTTCTTGAAATGAATGCGAACGTTGTATTTGCTTTCCTAACTGCCAACTGAACCCACATGTTAACCTTAGGAGAATCCTAAACTCTAACTTCTAAGTCCCTTTGTGCTTTAGATTTTTGAAACCTTTCCTCAATTAGAAAATAGACTATATCTCTATTCTTCCTACCATCAGCCATCAACTCTCACCTTTAAACTCCTGCAAATTACAACCCTTTCCATCTTAAAAAGTTTACGTGCTCTGCCTTTGGCTAACTTCTCTGATTTTTCTGTTTGTTCCTGCTAATCAGACTGACACTTTGTGACACATTTTGAACTGTTGTGCCACGTTCTGTGTTGTATAATCATCGTCATATTAATGCTGTTTTCTTCGAAGTGTTTAAGACCAAAACACAGCTAAAAAATGTGATATATGGCATGACTTTACAGAGAAAATTGATACCAACATTCAGAATATGCTATTAATTAATAGATAAATCCCTTTGGGCTTGGCTTGATTATAGAAAGCAGAACTGTTCCTTTATGTTGCATACTAAGTGACTGTTTTCTGTTTCATTGTTCTAAGCGTCTGTCTCCCTCTGCTGGATCTATGTTTATCCTACATGAAATAGTCAGAAAATCAACATTAATGAAATTCCATGGGCTTTTAAAGAACATGAAAGCCTTGATTCAGGATAGAACACTAGAGGGACAATCTTGTAAACTGTATCTAAGTATAGCAATGTTCCTCATAAAATAATTTTACAGTACTAAACATTTACAACCAACATTATACACCTCATTCATGTCGTGAATATCGAGTAGTGACTTGTTTATTGTGGTGAAGAAGGAAAGTGTCAGTTAAGTAGGTATTTCCTCATTCACAGGCTAGCAAATTTACACAGCTAATCGATAGGAAAATGCACTGAAAGCAGCCGATTTAAATAGGTTTAACAAGGAGACAGTGCTCTCCACTTTTAACATGTCAGCGAAAATGTCTCAATTGAAATTTGATGTATTGCTTCTACAAAGTGCACGAGTGCGTGCAGTACTGTAATCAGAGATTGACCGCATTGGGAACAAACCAATGTTTATTTCAAGATGTAGTCATGTGTGGCTGCATAGTCACTTTCAGGGCTACAAAGTGCAACAAATTGCAGAGCCAAGTGAAATCAGAGGGTACAATGATGTTGGAAGGACTAATCAACAATCACCTATAAGTAGTGCTGGTTTCAGACTTTCCTTACCTTTGTTAATAATTAATAATAAAGTGAAAAGTGAGAGGAAGAACTGTCTCAAGTTTCTAATCTACACCAGGATGCTGGGATTGACTTCAGCGACAATGCAGATGTGTCCCGAGCTGGGATGCCTCCAGTAACTCTGCACGCAAGGATGCAGCTGTGATTGGCTTTGGTTCCACTACACACATGGACAACGATGGGAGCAGCTCCAGGCTACTGAACACGTGGATGAAGCTGGGAAAGGCTCCAGTCATACAGCACACATGGACCACATTGGGATTGGATCCAGCGACATACTGCTTGGTATAGGAGCATTCCAAATGAGGAGCGGAGGAAATACGAACAGGAGGAGACCTTTCGGCCCCTTACGTCTGCTCCACCATTCAACCTGATTATGGCTGATCTTCCACCTCCATGTCATTATCCTGCACTATAATATTATCTCTTCATATCTTTAATGTCCAGAAATCTATTGACTGTGGTCTTGAAATTACTCAATGATTAAGCCTGTATAGCCCTCTATGGTCAAGAATTCCAAACATTCACCACCCTCTGAGTGAAGAAATTCCCCTCTTAATTTTAAGTTTATCTAATATGATTTTCCTTTCATAAATGCATGTTGATTCAATCTTATTTTTTTTTAAGTGTCCGCTTATCACAGACCTTATAATAGGCCTCATAGTCCATATAATCCAGCATTTTTCCTGCTACTGATGCCACGTTAGCACATCTGTAGTTCCCTGCTTTCTCCTTCACTCTTATCTTAAATTTTTTTTATTCATTCATGAGGACAATAAGGCCTATTATAAGGTCTGTGATAAGCCGACACTTAAAAAAAAATAAGATTGAATCAACATGCATTTATGAAAGGAAAATCGTATTAGATAAACTTAAAATTAAGAGGGGAATTTCTTCACTCAGAGGGTGGTGAACGTTTGGAATTCTTGACCATAGAGGGCTATACAGGCATGAATACTCATTGAGTATTTTCAAGACCCCAATCAATAGATTTCTGGACATTAAAGATATGAAGAGATAATATTATAGTGCAGGATAATGACATGGAGGTGGAAGATCAGCCATAATCAGGGTGAATGATGGAGCAGATGTAAGGGGCCGAAAGGTCTCCTCCTGTTCATATTTCCTCTGCTCCTCATTTGGAAAGGTCCTATACCAAGCAGTATGTCATGGGATGAGGGTGTTGTTGGCTAGGTCAGCATTTATTACACATCCCTAATTGCCCAGAGGGCAGTTAAGAGTCAACCACATTGCAGTGGGTCTGGAGTCACATGTAGACCAGACCAGGTAAGGATGGCAGTTTTCTTCCCTAAAGGGCATTACTGAACCAGATAGGTTTTACTGACAATTGACAATGGATTCATGGTCATCATTAGATTCTTAATTCCAGATATTTATTGAATTTAAATTCCACCATCTGCCATGGCAGGATTCAAACCCGGGTCCCCAGAATGTTGTTTGGGTCTCTGGATTAACAGTCCAGCGATAATACCACTAGGCCATCGCCTCCCCTCGACAGTGGGCTTACATTTGCTACCTTCCAATCTGCAGGGATTGTTTCACAATCTACAGAATTTTGGAAGATGACCACCAATGCTCCCAGTATATTTATAGCCTCCTTTTTCAACACTGTGGGATGTAGACCACCAGGTTCAGAGAATTCATCAACTTTCAGTCTCATTAATTTATCCAGAACCACTCTTTTTTAATACTAGTTTCTTTCAGTTCCTCACTCTTGCTGTCAGGTTAGTTCTCTAGTATTCTTGGGAGCTTTTCTGTATCTTTCTTTGTGAAGAAAGACACAATGTGTAGAAATTCCCTTGCCCAAATTTGGTGAGAAATGTGACTAATTAGGGTGAGAATGGAAAAACATCAACTTCTCATGGTTGAACAAAACCTGCATAAATAGTGACATCAGAAATTTACCTGTGAGTGGAGACTATCTTATTTCCATGCATTCACATGTCGTTAAAGCCCCAACTCGACCTACTTACATCCCACTTCCCATTCTCATCCTCTCTACCGAGAAACTAGACAATGCAAAAACCTACCAGGTAAAACAAGGCGGGTACCTTGTGGCCGCAGTTTGAATGGCGATCCCAGCCAACAGGCCACTGCTTCTTTGGCACAACTCCATCCTTGTTGACCTTTCATCCATGTACCTTGGGATGAGAGAACGATCAGCCTCAACAATTATGCCTATTCTCAGATCAACTCAGTACAGGCTTTCAACTCTCTGCTTTGAAGCTGATGGACACACACAACTTGTGTACTTCAACTATGTCACTCTGCAGGGACAGGCATGCATCTGCACAGGACGCTTTTGCACTGACACGGCCACATACATCTTATGGCTCTTAGTATGTTTTCTTCGTGCTTTCTCATGATAACATTTTCTTGGAGGCTGCCAGTCTCTGTCTGGGTAACGTCACTTTCTAGGCACATAAAGTCTTTAGTGGATAAAAGTAAAATACTGCTGAAACAAATATCAAAAGTATTACAGAAACCCAGCAGGTCTGGTAGCATCTGTGGGGAGAAATGTTTCGAGTCTATTGACTCTTCTTCAGAACAAAGTTTGAAAATCCAGGTATTTACTAAAAGAATGTAGCCAAAAAATTCACTGTTTAAAAATAATTCTACTGAACCAAAATCAAAGAACATTAATACTAATAACTGGATCTATATCTTAAATAGTCAAGTTAAATGGCTATGTTAAAGATGTCTAAAGCACAGTAAATAAAATTATAAATGCTCTAAACCAAAGTGCGTAACTCAAATTTCCTTTCACACCATTTTGATTTACATCCCAATAAACTTCAGTCAGGTACTTATCGGAAAGTCTGAATACTGCTTCAATGTTTCCTGTGAAGATTGAGATTTCTTAGACTGCGCTTACTTCCAGCAAGCTATCCCTTCAAATCACCTTCAATCTTCTCATGGTTATGGACTCCCACTTCATTTCAGATGGTGCTAGTTCATATCCATTTTGATCAGAACTCCCCTGGTTCTAATATTCTTTAATTCTGGAGTCTCGCATCAAAAATGTCTCTCTTCTCAGCTTGGCTATCCTACAGTTTCAATTCACAATGGGAGTCATTCAGTTAACAGTAGTTTTCAACTCTTGTAGCCAAAATTTCAGCTGAACCCGACGTGAAAGAGATGTTTCATGCGCTCAGCTTGTTCTAAACTCATACCTAAAAGCCTGCTTGAGATCAGGGTCTCACCTAGGAACCTGCTCACACCAATAATTAGCTTTTTGTTAACCCTTCTTTTCTCTATTGTTTTATCTCTCAAGCAGTTTAGTCACATGATCAGCTATGGAAGCAAATAGCTGGCTACAGAAATCATGCTTTAGACAAACCTAATCCATAAAGGGCCCATCATCCCAAGACAAACTATGAGCCTTTTAACCCCACATTATACGAGTTATCACAACACCTACACCTCCATTGTTTCCTGACCCATTTGTGGTGTACAGTGATGCAGATTTTTCTTGAGGAACTCTCCTGATCTCCTGACATAGCTTTATTGAAAGCTTTTCAGCCACCCTCTCTCTCAAGTAAAGATGTTTGTACCACTGATGGCGTTTTCTCAATGGGCTGGATGTCACGGGAGGCTGGGGGAGGGGGGATATTGCTCAAAGGCTAAACAGGCAAACTCTGGGACATCCATATCTTGGTGAGCCTATAGCCCACTGTCTCATGCCAGTCTGAATAACAACTCTAGCAGTCCCAGCAGTGCCCAGCCTCTGCTGGGACTGCCAGGAATACAAACAGGTCCAGCTGAGAACTTCATAGGATCCTGGAACCAGGTCTGTCCCTTGTTTCTTGTGGTAGGAAAGAATCAAGCAGTTTAAGGACACAGAGTTTGGAAAAGGCAATAGATTTGGCAGGATTTCGAGGTGGGGAGGAACAAAATAGAGGGTGATATTTTGGCATGTGTGTGTGCACAGAGCACCCCAGTAAGGACATATCATTTCCCTTCCTACCCACTTTTCTACATCATGTTTAAAAAACACACTGCTCAGTCCTGCCCACCTCTCCACAACAACTATATTATGCTGTGGCCAATAAAATATTCAGGTCAACTGATGTGGGACAAGCTCAATTGACTAAAGCTGTTTATTTAAAACAGTGGTTGGGCTGCTGGCTTTGGCATTGGTCCATATACCGTATTCCTGGAGACAGCTGGGAGTGGGGGCAGATGGTAGGCTTGCCACCCCTCCTATTATACATGCTCACCAGGCAAGAAACCTGTCTGGCAGGGGCCATAAAATTCAGCCCTGTGGAGCTTTGACCCCAAATTTGTCATTGTTTGAGCCATCTCAGCCATTTCTGTGTTTCTCCACCCTTGTTCAGTATGTGCAGATTCCTTTACCTATCGGCTGTCTCTTTCTGACCTCCTGATGAACATTTACATCAGTCTTCTCTTCAGTAACTTGACCAATGTGTTCTCCCTTCAATGGGCAGCACGGTGGCTCAGTGGTTAGCACTGCTGCCTCACAGTGCCATTGACCAGGATTCGATTCCACTCAAGGGTGACTGTCTACGTGGAGTTTGCACATTCTCCATGTGTCTGCATGGATTTCCTTCAAGTGCTCCTCTCACAGTACAAAGATGTGTGGGTTGGTTGGATTGGCCATGCTAAATTGTCCATAGTGTTCAGGGCTGTGCAGGCTAGGTGAATTAGCCATGGGAAATGTGGGGTTATAGGGATAGGGTCTTGGTGGGACGTTCTTTGAAGCGTTGCTGTGGGCTTAATGGGCTGAATGGCCTGCTTCCACACTGCAGGGATTCCATGATTGGCACTCCTGTTGATTCACTCCTTTCTCTACTTCAGCTCAATTTTTAAAAATCTTATGAATAATCCATTTATCTCTCAGTCTTCAGTTCCAATGAAAGGCTGTTCACCAAAACTATTTTTCTCCTTTACACATGCCGTTTGATCTGCTGAGTATTGTCAACTCATCGCATCCACTAGGGATAGGTGCATCAGTCTAGTTCCTAACAAGCCAAGCACAAAATCTCAACTGGATGGGCTCAGAAGGGAGGTAGAATGATCAGGGAGACTTTGGGGTCATTGTTTCACCATTGACTACAGAAGTATGCTTATCAAATTCTACAGGGCTAATTGTGACAATGTTAGCAATGCAGGCTCCATTAAGGGTAAATCAGAACTGCTCCAGAACTGATTGAGAGCAAGTGATGCTCAATGGACTTTGGAATCTTGAGACACAGTGGTGGTGTCGCTACCTCTGGGCCAGGAGGTCAAAGTTCAGAGACCAACTGCTGCAAAGGTGCGTCATAACATCTTTGAACAGGTTGATTAAAATGGAAGAAGCTGGGTTCTTCCCCAGCGAGGAAGTGAGTTTGTGGACAGGTGAAGGATCGATAAGGGAACAGTAGAAGCTGGTGTTTGTACTGAACTATAGTTTGACAATAAGACAGTTGAAAATCTCATAAAGCCTTTGCCTACCTTATTAATCGATGCATATTAAACAAGAGCTTGGTGTGGATGACATGGAAAACATTTGATGCAGAAAGAAAAACCTGATAAACAGAAGCTTTAATTTCCAATTCCTTTAACAACTCAATTTTCTGCCTGTCCAATCCTAAATTATCTTAAATAATCTTTTCAAGTAATTATCTAATGGCCTTTTGAAGCATGGTTTGAGGTTAAATGTATTCTGATTTTATTGGCTTCCAATCTGAACTGATCCTGGCAATAAACATTTAGACCTCAGAATCTGTACCAAGGGGTTAAATTGGCAAAGTTTACCTCAAATTAAATCATTGCATTATGTATTATTACATGCACTTAAATCAGCTTTCTAATTAATCTATCCCATATTACACCATGACTGAGAAAGCAGACTGCAACAAACATTAACACAAGGATAAACTGGCAGTTGTTGTAGAAAACATGAGCTCTGTATTACGAATGTGTACGGAGGGATAGAATATAATTATACCCGATGAAGCAGGATCAAAATTGAATGAGCTGGACGTAGGAACACTTACGATAGGGTGGAATTAGGGATATACTTAAAGGCAAAAATAGGAACTCACCTGAAGGAGTGAGAGGTGCATCAGAAGATATCTGATGGGGTTAGGGGAGTAAGATTCTATGCAGGACTCCCAAGAACTGATTACTGAGAGATTATTCATTGAGGTATTGAAATATTTTAACCAATTATTATCTAAAAGTTCAATTAAAAAATGAAATGCTGTTTAAGACATGATTGTTTCTGAGCTGCTGAGAACATGGACATGCCAGCCCTGGGAAGATGTGGATAAATTGGTGGAGTATAAGGTTAAATAGCTAACAGCAAATTATACATCACTTATCATTAAGGACCTTGTAGATCCTTTACCATGAGATTAACCGTACTGGGTAAAGTCCAGGTTAGATTGTATTGTGCCTTTTCTATTCAATGCTAGTTGTTTCTGCTCAGACTTTTCATTAAGTCATTCAATAGGCACAAGAGAATTTACAAACTTAATTGCTTATTTCCTGACTAATAGTCCCAACAACTAACTCATCTTTACGCCAGAATTGATACCTCTGATCAGAACTGGACATCTTTTTTCAACCCCAATGTTTAAAGGAAGCAGCTTTTTGCAAGATACTTTCTGCTGCCTGAGCACAGTTAATTTATTGACTTATACAAACATACCGCACACGGTTTTGAGGATCAAAGCCAAACATGTCATTTTCTGTGCAGCAGAGTAATTTAACTTTTGGTTACAAGACAGAATTTGTAGTTTTACTGCAGTGTTCAACAAAGCCAGACCATGAGATATTTCTCTGTGTCCATGAGATATAGAGATTCATTACATCCTAATGTACAATGTTAAGTTTTGTTTGTCTCCAAAATCAAATGGGTTAATATAATTTTCATAGATTAGCATTAAGCCACAAGGTAATTTATTAAAGGACAGGTTGTACTGATCCACTGGTAGGCGCCAAGTTTCTGTTAAACTTTGTTTAACAACCTTTTGTCTGCAAAAATAAAAGTGTCATCCATCTTCTTTTCAATCCCTCAGGCAACACTTGATTTCTAAAGAACACTTCCATACTCTCAACCATTTTTCAAGATATGTCACAGCCTGTTTTAAATTAAAGCTTCTTTCAAAGTTTCCAGCTGCTTTAAACATACTTCAAAGTGACAGCACCCAAGAAGGAGGGAAAGGTTTGATAACCAGGGGGCAAGTTTTGAACCATTGTGTGGAGAAAGACTTCCACGAGCAGGACAGAAGAAAAATGATGAATGCATTCACAACCATTTGGCCTAAGCAATAAGTATCGGCTGATGCTAGACGTCTCAACTTACCGTCAGTAATAATTTAAGTCAGAAAAGTTAGGTAAAATTGTTCATTGTATCCACCTCAAGTAACAAAAGAGCCATAATTTACTCAGGAAGCTGATGATAAAGGATGGAAGGATGGGGACTGTATCTACAATCAAGTTATACAGCAGTTGAGCTGCCTGATTTACAAAAACAATTCATCTGATTCAAAGCTAATTTATTCAAACTCTCTAAGATTTTGGAGTAGATTTGTAGCTCAGGTTGTGGGTGTTGAGGTTGTTGAGGTTGGTTGGCTCGCCGGGCTGGTTTCTTGTTTCGCAGACGTTTCGTTACCATGCTGGGTAACATCCTCAGTGTAGCCTCCGAGGATTGAGATGAGTGAGTATCCACATGGATAAGGAGAACCACCAATTCGACTGGGACAACACCAAAATCCTGGGACAAGCTAAGCAGAGACAAGCACAGGAATTCCTAGAAACCTGGCACTCCACGAAGAAAGCCATTAATAAACACATAGAACTTGACCCTATATAGACTCCACTACGAAGGAAAACCATAAGTGAGGCAATCCATCTCAACGGACTCCGGAGTTTAAAAACCAGGCGGGAAAACACACCGACGCTTCATCAGAGGCTGCACTGAGGATGTTACCAAGCATGGTAACGAAATGTCTGCGGAACAACAAACCAGCTCGGTGAGCCAACCAACTTGTTCAAACTCTATTTGTTCATCTTGATTGGACAGTGACAAAATGCAAACAACTAATCAATAATCCAGTCCTGATTCAACATCAGCAGTACCTGAAATTACAACATCAACACAAAACTGATGCCACTCCCATTATCATCTCCTCTCTCTTACCCCAAAACACCTCAGGAAGCTACCTGCAAGTGATGCATTGTAACAAGCAAGTCAAAATGGTCACCAAAAAATGATTCCAGAAGTTCACATATTGACACATAAATTTGTCAGAGGTTTGGGATCGATAATTAGATTGGAATTGTGCCTGTTGCTAACCTCTTCCAAAGCAATCTTGATATATGGGATCAATGAAAAGTTCCCAGATCAAACAGCACTTATGGCTACATTGTAAGCCATCCCTTGTGTGGACTGGCAGCTTAATGTCAAGGCTGGTGGGAAAAGGACTATTAACAGCTAAGGAAGATTGATCACAGGGTTAACTCAATCCATTCCAGGCCTGTCACTTTTTAATACACAATCACTGAACGCAGCATCAAATACGACATATAAAAGTTTCACCCTTTGAAGTTGCACAACACCTTCCTGTCAGGTCCGTATCAAGGAGCGGTTGAGGCCGCCAGGTCTGTCCTTGATGGAGTTTAGAAGGACAAGGAGAGAATCTGATTGATACTTACAGAATACTAAGAGGCCTGGATACAGAGGACATAGAGAATATGTTTCCACTAGTATGAGAGCCGAGGACCTAAGGATGCAGCCTCAGAGTAAAGGTCAGAACTGAGATGAGAAGGAATTTCTTCAGCAGAGGGTGGTGACTCTGTCGAACTCATTGGTGCTGTGGAGGTCAAGCCATTAAGTGTCTTTAAGACAGAGACAGATACGTTCTTGATTATTAAGGATTACGGGGAGAAGGCAGGAGAATGGTATGTCAGACATGATCAAATGGCAGAACTGACTTGATGGACCAAATAGGCTAATTCAGCTCCTATATCTTATGGTCTAAGCCTTGCCCAGAGGGTGTAGAAGAAGTCACAGCCATGGATCCCAGGGAACATGAAGAAGGAGTTAAGAACACAGATGACTGTCAAAGGAAGAGCATCCAGACTTTGCCTATTTCTAACATCAATGCTGCTAAGAGTTCATTCTTAATTTGGAGGTAGTATGCAGAACAGTCAATCTCTAGCTCTTTGGTATTTGGATGGACTTTGTTCAATATATTTCCAATGTGATACATTCCATAAATCATGCAATAACCAAACAAACTGCCAGCAAAATTACCTTCACACAGATTTACTAGTTTACACAAGTTGACATATAAACCAGACAATTGGTTACCACAATGTCTGCACCTCCCAATTCTAATTTAGGTAAGTTTTGCATTCATTTACAGGAAGAAGCCACATATAAGAGACAGGAACAGCTTAATGAAAGGGAGATTTTTCCAATTTTAACCCATTTATTCACAATGGGAGACCATTCTTCCAATTTTGCAGCCAGGGCCTGTATAGGAATTTGGAGCCCAGTTACATATTTATTACACTGGAATCTGTAGACTGGAGTGATGCATATGCAAGGGGGGCTTATCCGCCACGCTGAGTGAGTTGGTAACATACAAAAAGTATAATGTTCCCTCAGGCCTGCTTACCATGAGAACGGGACGAAAGAGTTAGTTTGTTTGTTAAACCCATCACCCATCTGTTTTATGGATCAATGCAGTACTGATTGAGATAATGACATAAATTCACCAGTATTGTTTGGAAATAATGTAAAAGTCCACAGTGGAGATTATCTTGCCAACCCCTAAAGATTTAAAACCTTCACTTAATCACCAGAATCAGAATAATAACCTCAAACAGATGGGGGAGTTTGGTATGCTATGCGAATGTGCACAGGGTAACACAACAGGGATGAAACATTGCAAAAGAATTCAGATGGTGGCTTTTTCAGGGGACTTACGAAGCTGAAGCACACCAGATAAAGTATACCTTCACTTCACCTGAAACCATGCATTAAAGCCCAAATTTCCTGTTTGTAGGTGGTGTTGCAGCGGTGAAAATTTGTTCTATCAATACTTTCTTTGCCTGCAGACAAACAGGAAATTATCAGGGCGAGGCTTTAAAGGCCCAAAGCGAGTCTACTTACTCTTGTACATTTTAAGGCTTTCGAGAGACTTCTGTACTTTAGATGTCTACGTGAGAGTCAAATGAAGAACATGTATCCAGACTTTAGTGATTGAGGATCTGTCAGAATAGCTGGAATTAGTCTAGTTCCTTCATTATAGCGGGATCTGAAGTAAGGTTGGGGATTCCAGAGTGGCTTGATAGAGGAAAGAGAATGCAGGCAGTTTAATGCGGGCCTTCTCGAAACAGGGGCTGGTGCTGGGGAATAGGAATCTCACACTGAGCGATGGATGTTACTAGGTGGGGAAGCAAGTGTGTATTTCTACACATACACAAAACGGACTGATTTTTAAAGGCTTGCACCACACTGATAACACAATCAGCGCAGCCTGAACAAGCTCAGGGCTGAACTTACACTGCTCCTGGACAGGCTTTCTAGTAACTCAGCTGTCAAAAGGCACGCAGAGATCCAAGATGGAGTCATGGATCAGGTATGCCTCAAGCTTTTAGGACGGGAACATTTCATGCACCCTAGGGAAAAGATTCCAGCTGGGCTTTGGAGGTGAAGAGGAAGGATCAAAGGAGTTTAGCATCTTGCAGGGAGAGTGCTGGGGTGATACAGCCCAATGCACACAGGAAACTGCTCCCACTACCAAAATGATGCACCTCCTCCTCCTTTCCAGCCGTTTCAGTAAACACAGAAAAACAAAATAGTCCTGACACATGTCACTTTCCAGCATTTTGTGGCAATGGAAGTAAATTGAGAGCCTTAATGCTGTCAGCAGACCTCAGGATGGGTGAGCTATTGGGTAATGTATCCACAGCCAGCCGTATGGGAACAGGTCACAGGTAAGGCAGTGGGCAAGCCCATTGAAATAAATAAATGTTTTACCAGTCCTCACCCTGAAAACACAGCATGGCAGGGGCTATAAGATCCAAGCTCGGTTATTACCATTCACTGAGCTCTCATTGGAAAAGCGTAGAGTTGAATCAGACATGCCTAGTGACAGGAGCAATGCCCACCTGGGATTAAGGCTGGATTCACAAAGACTTGGCCACAAAATTTTTTAAGTGCTCTTATTAATGTGGGGGAACAATCCTGGTTGAATGGAGAGGCATGCCCGGAGCAGCAGCGGGC